GCGACCTGAGGTGAAATTCTTGCAAATTTTCCAAAAATTTTTTTTTTTGCTTGGGGCCGGGGGGGGTTTGTTCGAACCCCCCCGAACCCCGCCTGGCTACGGGCCTGCATGATCATACCTTGAAGGTGACCTTTTGCATGTTCCTCAGCGCCACAATACAATCATATGCCACTCGTACACACTCCACTCACGTGTCCTTAATGATGCCCATGTCGATGACCTCAAAGTTTCCCTGCTCTAACAGGCTCTCAATCATGCAGCGGTTGCTGTCCCTGATCTGTCCACGCTTCAGCTGTACTCCGGGATCCACAAGCTAAAAGCAGGAGCACACACATGAAACCTGCACTACACGCCGTATATATATAACCCTACCACGCTACTCAGCCAGTAGTTAAAAATATTACTGAGGAATAGAAAATATGTATATGTCGATACATGAGCTGTAAAACAGTGCATCTAACTTTACGCATTTGTTGGTCGACAAGTACAAACTTTCATTACTACTCGTTTGTTATACGGTTAGCACAGCAAAAAGATACATAACAAAGCTATGGTCATTACAGAGTAACAAGGATTGCAGGCGACACTCATACCTCGTTTCCAGTAGACACAATGGCCACTACTGGTTTCTTGTAGACCTTCACTTTGGTGACCCCGATCGTAGCAAGAAGGCCGACCTCGGACGGCCCGATCCAACTCTGTGCACTGAGAACCTTGTTGTTAGCTTTGATGTCGCAGCCAACAGGTCTGATGTCCTGCCCAATGGTCGGCGGGTGCAGAATTTTCACCTCTAGCTCGGTACGTCCCTGTCAAAATACCAGCAGCACATCTCTAACAGTTCTGTGACTGCAGTAAAACAGAAAGAGAATCAACATTGCAGTTTGGGCTTGACACGGGTACGATGGGAGAAAAGAGATGGATTGAAAATGCCAGTAGGGTACCGTATGAGTAAAGAGGTCAGGCAATGAATACAGGGGTGGGGTGGGGGATACAGGGGTGGGGTGGAGATACAGCGGTGGGGTTAGAGACACATGGGTGGGGTGGGAGGTACATGGGTGTGGCAGAGGATAAAGGGCTGGAGTATGGGATAGAGAGGTGTGGTTGGGGGGAATACACGGGGGGGGGGTGCGGGAATACAGCAATGGGATAAGGAGTACAGGAGTGGACTTGAAAGTACTAGGATGGTGGGTCACAAGGCTGGTATGGGGGAAAAAGAAGTGGGGTGGGAGATGCAGGGATTGAGTGAGACACAGAAGTGGCATGGTGGATATGAGGGGTGAGACCCAGAAATGGGGGTGAGGGATACGAGTCATGAGACAAAAAAGTGGGATGGGAGGGAGACAGGAAGAGGGAGTTGGATGAGGAACACTGGAATGGAGCTGATACATAGGAGTGTATAGTGGCAGACTGAGAGGCAGGCTGAGACGCAAGGGACGGCTGCAGGGTTCAGCAGTGGGCCGGGCCCCTGCCTGCTAGACTGCGAGCTAAGATTACCTCATCGGCAGACTTGACGAGCTCGGTCTGTTCAACCTCGATGACGGCGTCGGCTCCCTTGGGAACGGGAGCTCCAGTGCTGATGCGGATGCAGTGCCCCGGAATCACCTCGCCAAAGTCCGGCTGCAATTGGCGAACGCGGAGACTCGCAAACCACGTTACCGAGTTATTATCCGTCATCAAAGCTAATATAACACAATGTCAAACGTGGTGCCGACTTGACAAACATCTTGTATGAATATTTTCGAAGAGGCTTTTCGAAGAATAAACAATACCAATGTAGACAATATTACGGTGATTTTGTGAGAATCCATATTAGTCTCAGATATAAATGGATTGAATGGTCTGTGGTTTTAATTCCCAAGAATTAAAGGCATTTCTCTATAACAAGCGCCGCAGAGCGACAGCGCTCAACTGACGTGTACTGTAGCCAGGTATTCTTCTGATAAACTCACTGGCAACCGAATCGAGTGTACCCTCCTGCCACCGCATTCGCGCTCAGAGCATATATCTAGGATACTACTAATACAGATCTAAAATCTATGATAGGCTTTGCTATATCTACTGGTAGTACAGTAATAAAGATACAGCTGTGTAACTTTAATGACTTCACTATATTAACGTGTTATCATGGATACGCCTCGAGCGCGAGCATAGTGGTGGTGGTGGGGGAGGGTGGTGGAGGGGGTGGAGGGGAGGGGGAAGGTGGGGGGAGGGGCGGGGGGAGGGAGCTCTAATAGTAAAAGCAGTTCAGTCCTTTGTTACAGTCAACAAATCCATGTTTAACCCTCCTCTTGAGGGTCAAAAGGTTATCAGACACTTACTCGTCGCACGTCAGCGGAAAGTAGATTTCATGTTCCTTTCAATAAAGTGATAAAAACGGTAGGTCAGCGCTGAAACAAAAAAGTTTTGCACTCGGTCCGTTAGACCATGTCTGATATCTGACCTTTACCCCACTGCCCTTTGACCTGTGACCTCCAATTTCTCGCTAGTAATGGGTTTCCTCCCCATCACACTATACATTGAATATTAAGAGCGTAGGTCAAGCCATTGAGATTTGTGCCGCAATTCCGTATTTCCTCCTATAACTTAAGTTAAGGGGGAAATATTCCCCCTCCATTGACACATCTTGACCTTGGACCTTTGACCCCAAAATTCAACATCCTGAGTCCTTTTTGCTACTCCCCCCCCCCAACGTCCCGAATATCAAGACCGTACGTCAAGCGGTTAAAATTTGTGCCCAACAGATACTGTTGACGGACGCACAGACGGACGCACGGACACACGGACAATCATGCGACTCTACAAGCTGCATCTGACTTCGTCAGCTGAGCTCATAATTCATGAGCAATTATTACGAAAAAATATGTACAGCGAGAGTTTCAACTACCTTACTTCCAGCAGTGGAATGACCAAGAACCTTCCTGTTACCAGCGCCATCTGCTGCCACGACTGCGTAGCCATCCTTCACTGAGGCAGGAAATGGAGGCAGGGCATCCTTCGCATAGACATCATCAGCCAGTACGTGTCCGAGAGCATCTGTTACACACGTGGAAGTTCTCATCAAACGCAGCTAGCCAGCACATGCTAAATACAATCTATCACGCAGGTAAAAAAAAAACATCAACAAGTCAGCCTCATTATTCGAACTCTGAACCTGCACTACATGTCGAGCCATATTTTAGATTTAATTCTCTACAATGTTGTGACTGAAACTGAAGACCCTCAGTGAGCGATTACTCTTTGACGTATAACCACCACTCGGACGTATCTGGGGTTGTGCCTTTGAATCACTATGAGCATAGTGCATACCTTTATAAGAGATCACATGAGTGTTAAGCATATCTGCCTCCTTCAGCACGATATCCACAGCCGCAGCAACACTGATCATTGGGAAGGGAGACTTGCGCAGTCTGTTTGCAACTTGTGTTTCGTCCACCAAACCTGCCAGAAAAACGCATATATGGCCTCCTGTCATACACACAAGCACAAACGCATATATGGCCTCCTGTCATACACACAAGCACAAACGCATGTGCGCACATGCACACGCACGCACGCACGCACGCGCACACACACACACACACATACACGCGCGCACGCGCATGCACGAACTCACATAAATACATGTGGTGATGACAAGGCAGATCACATCATTGGCAAAACCTGACATGAAGTAAATGCTTTGCGATAGAAACCATTTATGCTCAAGCATGAGATTACAGTTTAGTTTAGTTTAATGAGCCAGAATCCAATCAGCGGGTCAAAGTTGTTCCGGGTGTGAAAAAGTTACAACTCTGTTTTTATTTGGGGTTACTAGGAAACTTACTTATAGTCTTATACTCATTTGCACCCCCCCCCCCCCGCCCATAACGAGCTGAACTGTGATTTTCAGTCCCTTGCCTCCAGGAGCATAGGCCTATGGCAACTGCATTGCTTTGATTTCGTTAACAGGCTTTGTCGAGCAAGCTGATAGCTGTTACGTCTGTAAGGTTGTCAGCCTCATGCCGTCGAGATAAACCCATTTTTACAGCAAGCTTTTACTGGAGTAAATCGGGACTAAGTGCCTTGATCGCGACCACGACAGTGGTGACCGCAGGAGGGGGGGGGACTGCAACCCCAGACCTTTCAGCCTGTTAAGTCAAGTGCACTGTCCAATAGACCACCACTGCCCCCTCTACATCGGGTTGTTGCACGTAAACAGAAGAACGGCTAGCAATGATGGCTGTGGTGTCCGAGGGCGACGTACTCACTGTTCGACCTGTGGATGTGGGGCTTTGTGACAGACGGCGGTGCTTCGCGCAGCGGCGATGCCTTGTCTCTAACCTCCTTCATTGCCACCGCCACCTGCATCTCCCTGTGCGTCACCTCGACGGTGTCCATGCGGCCCTGCAGTAGATCGACGGCATGGGGCAGCGCGCCCGCGACGAAGCGCAGGCACTCCGTCGCGGCCTTGCTGCTGCCAGGAAGGTTCACGATTAGCGTGCCACCGCGGATGCCACACGACGGCCTGCAAGAGCATAGAGAGTGACACAAGGGCATGTCTTATGTTATGCAGCCACGCACGCACGTACGCACGCACGCACCCACGCACGCACACACACGCGCACGTGCACACACACACACACACACACGCACACACGCACATACACACCAGGGCCTGTACGCAAAATTGTTTTTCCCACGCGAGTTCCGGATACACCATAGATAATGTTTTGTACGATGTGTTTGTATATAAGCGTGTGAGTCGGTTTAAGTTAGTGTTAGGGTTCGTGTTAGAGTTGTCTTAGGGTTAGGGTTAGGGATAAGGTGACATTTGTTTCATTTTTCATTGTTGATTCGAGGAAGTCGAGTGAATGGAGTGCGCTGATTGGCTGTATTCCGAAACTCGTGTGGGAATAAAAAATGTGCGGCCTGTACCATGCTACACAGTCACACACGGGCCTGTGACATGCTAACCAGTCAAATAGTGCATAAATGGCATGCTACATAGTCACACATACACATAACAACAAACAACATACACAATCACAAATGGAGCTATAATTCACTGCAATCATTTGAAATTGGAGGCAAAATCGACAAAATCCATAGCAATTTGTCATACATTGGTAGCTCCATAGCCATTGAAACCCCGAATAATTGCACCAGTAACTAATTATGGGCAGGCAACGCTACGTGGCCTGCTTGCCTGTAGTTGCCCCATCCTCACCTATACTATAAGTAGGGCTCATAAGGTCTATGTCCCCCAGGGTACTGCCGGAACGTACCCTGGGGACATAGACCCTCTCAGCATAAGTAGGCATTGTCAAACAGGTTGCAGTTTGTGATCATAATCAGTAGGAACCAAACGTTATATCAAGCTACCAATTCAGCAGAAGTCAATTAAGAAATCCTACCAGTCGAGAAAGGTGCCTTTCATGTTCACTTCTGCCATATTTAAAAAAAAGGCTAACTTTCCCTCATTGAGTCACCGAACACTCTTAAATTCATTTATCTAATACATATTTGTGGAAGTTTCTCTGTTCATCTGTTCTCGATTCAAATCAATATGGGCCACTCTAGATATGTCAAAGGATGGCCATTAGATGTAACTTTAGATGCTGAATGTCATGGGCACATTGGATTTGACCTCTGAGGTCATCTGACATCGCAAAAGGAAAAAAATGATGAAAAAATGATGCCCCTGCAGCAGCGATCAATCAACGCACCCCTGTAGAAGCGGTAAATAAACCGGCCCATGCAGACGGGATTCACTTTGCACTGACTTGCATGACTGTGCAATGCGCGTAACATTGTGTTACAATACATGCATTATGCTACATGCACCATGTCATTGTTGTAACAACATTCACCTTGCACCAACTTGATACAGAGTTTGCAAGACTATAGCACTATAGACTATAGAGTTTGATAGATAGATAGATAGATAGATAGATAGATAGATAGATAGATAGATAGATAGATAGATAGATAGAGATAAATAGATAGATAGATAGAGATAAATAGATAGATAGATAGATAGATAGATAGAGATAAATAGATAGATAGATAGATAGATAGATAGATAGATAGCTAGATAGAGAGATTGACATACATA